GTCCGGAGGTTTTCTCGGCCGCTAAGAGGAGTTGGGCGCTGATTTTTGGAGGGTGAATGGAAGAAACAATTTTCCCGATACTATTTTATGGATTTTGCCAAATTCCTTAAAATAAAGTTTTTATGAGCAATTTACTAGAAGGTCCTTAATAAAATGGCCACAGTCCCGTGGTGTCCGGCCATAACTCGACGCCCAGATGGAATTTTGGGCTGTAATTTTGTCCACTTATGTATTCGATAGTGGGGATCACGCGCATCGTATTATTTTTACAAATTTTCGGCGCATTCAGACTCAAAAAGAGAATTTTGTAAAGTTATCAGAAGTCCTCTCTCCCGGGATGGGGCGGCCCCCAGGACAGAAGAGGCCTTTCCCGCTGTCAATCGTCGCGTCCCCTTGGTGTATTGGATTGGCGCCCGGTCTAACAAACGCATGGTCCGGGTTCGAATCCGCGCGGAATTTAAATTTTTGCTTTTTGGTAGTTCAACAATGAAACATATTTCTAGGCTCTCGGTGTGCGAGTTTTAGGACCGGGCCCAGGCTCTAGCGCCGGACGCCAAAGAAAAGGTACTTGGCCCAGGCTCTGGCGCCGCAGGCCAACGATGGTTCCTTGACCCAGGCTCTCGCGCCGCAGGCCAAATCCTGGACAAAAACCAGTAGCTAGCGCCGCAGGCTCAAAGATTCTGGCCCAGTGCTGGCTCTGGCGCCGCAGGTCACAGAATGGTTCCTTGAGTGAGGCTCTTGCGCCGCAGGCTTCGATAAAAGGAAAGGGAATTGATTATTCCTAGACGGGGTCCAGGGGAAAAGGGCCGCGAAGCGGTCTTTTTCCACTGGTAAGGGGATAAGCAAGGCCCGTGTAGATCAGGGCTTACCTGTAATTGGCAAAAAGCCAACCGGAAACGGTATGCAGGTAGTAGAGGGATCAGATCGGAATCAGATCCAATATATGCTTAGCTCAAGCCAAAAAAAGCCAGACAATAAGAATTTAAAAACCAATTATGTTAATTAAATTAAATACGAATTCCTGGCTCTTTTGAAATGCGCAAAAACAGTTTCGAAATTCATCCTGTTAGTGAACGGCTTTATGACAAAACTAGATGATATTCTTTGGCGAAAAATAGCTCGAAACCCATGAGACCACCCCGGAAAGCTAACTGCCTTCATAATTCATGCCCATGCAGTATTGAGAACGACTTTCCCACCTTCTCCCCCACCCAACCCATCGCGCAATGAACGGCAGGCCATCTGTGTGCGTCGTACGGTAGTGCTCTCGGACACCTGTGTGAGTGGATCCCCCAAGTTCCAAAAGAGAAGGAATGTCGGAAATTGGCTTTGGCGGTGATCAGTTAGTAGCTGCGGTTCGGGAAATTAATGGGGATACGGTATCCGTGGATGGCTACGATGTTGGGAAAGAAAAGGGAAGGAAATAGGGCGAATTTCCTTAAGAGCTAAAAGAGATTTGCTTGTAAACAAGTGTTCGGCAAAATTTGCGTTTTGGGAATGGATTTATATAGAAGAAAGCAGTAGGACCTTATAAGCCCATAGTAAGTTCCGCTTAGAAGGAGGCGTTTTTAGGTGCTTCAGAAGTTTTGCGACTGTGAAAAACTTTTGGGGAGGACCGTTATGGTTTAGCATTGCTCCTGTTTGCTTTTGGAAAGCCGGGCGTTGTTCAGAATTTCAAGTACTATCGAATCCGTTTTTTGTATGTGTTAGTTATGGCCCAAAGCAACCCTAAATTTTCCTTTTATTTAGGTGCTATTCTCCACCCCAGCAATCCCCTTCTCAGTCCCATCTCTCCTAGCATTTTGCATGTTTACCTTGGGGCGCTATTCGGCTCGAGTCGGAGCGAGGCCGTGGCAGGTTCCCAGGCCCCCTGAGCTTCACATTGGTCTCGCTTTTTTTTGCCCCAAAACCCCGGGTCCCTTTAATGGCGATGCCGGGCGTGGTCTCGAGGGGACCTCGGCGGTGGGTCTCGACTGGGGGGATGGAATGGAAGCCGTTAGGAGATGCTAGCATTGTGGAGACGCAGACGCGTGGGGGATACGGCTAGAGAGCATGGGGGTTGTTCGCTGACGGGGTTGACCCAGGCAAATAAGCGGTGGGCTGTGGCTCGGCCTGGTACGGACACTCCTCTAGCCCCGTCAGGCGTCCCCACCCGCCCTATTGAGGCACTGCTGACCTTCCGTCTCTTCCAACCCCTTTCTATACTCACCAGCTAACCCCCCACCAACCCGTCAGGGGGGTCAAAATTGAAATCAGCTACCTTAAAAACTACATATTCAATTCTCGGGCCCCAAATCCGCCGGCATCTGCCATGGCCAAGCGCCTACCCTCCAATTTCCAGATCAAAGGTCCGACTTTTTCAGCTTTTTTGTGGCCGGGCGGCGCCCTTCTTTGATTTTTTCATAATTCAGGCGGCGGTGACATAATTCTATCCGGCGCCCGATTAAAAAGTCATATTCTTTTCTTGGCGACTCGCGAGCCCTGCCCACTCGCCTAATCCGTTCCCCCGGAGGGCAAAAAAATCTCCAAGTTGCCAACAGAAATCGAAAAACTCCTTACCTCTCCGTCTCCACAATAAAACTTTTTCAGACGAGGCCTCTTTTCAAGATCCATTGGCCAACTATTGCGACGGATCGAGTTTCAGCATCGTTGAGTTCATCACAAACGGAGAGTAAGTCAATTTGATCATTCTTTGGGGGTTACTGTACGCGTTTTTCGCTGTGGATTGGTACTGGTGCCCTTGCTGACCAATAACTTCCTTGCCATTCCCTCCAATTGCCCTCCTCTCCGCTCCCCCATTTTGCCATGTCCTCGAATGCTGGCCGCTGCACTTTTAGGGTTTAAATGTTCTAGGTCCCCTCCACCTCACACTGACTTTCTCTTATCAAAAAAACCCGCCGCCCTTTCCTCCCGGGCCCACTGGTTTTTGCCTTCAGCCGCGAACGGTTTTTCTTGCCGTTTTCTTGCTTGCTTTGGTACGGTAAGGCCCCGGAAATTTGTACTTTTCGAGGATGGTTGCCCTGCCCTTGCCCTTGTGCGGTCGAGGCCATTTTTTTTGGTGCTGTCCTGCGACAAGTGCATTTTCTCGTTTCCTCTTTCTGCGCTCCGTTCCTGCAGCGTGTCCTCTTTTTCGAAATCTTTTTTTAGTGAGCCCCACTGTGTTGAGAGAGGGGTGAGAGGTGGGAAAGCAGAGCTGGCGCGAAGGAAAGCTGGGGATGGAAATGTAGGGTTTTTTGGAGGGTGGAAAAGGTTGATTTTCACATCTACTGGGTTTGTTCCCACACCTATCCCTGTTGTTTTTGATGGGTGTCTGGGGTAGGGATGAAGTTAGGCATCTGGCAGAGATGGTTGGCAGGACATATGGTGCCGGAGGGGGTGTTTTTTTTTGTTAGCAGAGGGGTGCTAGGCGAAGGGTGGGTCTGGAGCATTAATGAGGGCGCGGCTGGTATCGATTTATGCAGCGGGCCATTGGACCCCCCGGGGGGCCTTGGGTGTAAGAATGGAGGTTAGGGGGTGGATCAAGGACGAATTGTAAGAATTTGAGTAGGAAAAATGGAAGGCGTAAAACAAAAAAAGAACACGTAAAACACGTAAAACGTAGCACGTAAAACACTTAAAAAAACCGGTTAACTTTTTAGTGTTCTATACGTTTTTATTAAAATTTTCTCCAGACGTTTTAAGGATATATAATTTTTGCTATGAACTCCCTCAATTATACCCGGTTATTCTCCACGTATCGGCCATTCCCACAAATCGTTGGCCTATTTTCCTATGACCGAATCCCCCCGATCCGCCATGGCCCCCTCCAGTAAGCCCTCCTATATTCGCCTCTGCGTGTGGCTGGTTGGTAGTGGTAGTGGTGGTGTGCATTATTGGGGCATTTGTTGGACGACCTTGGCGTGCCCCCGTTTGCCCTCTCTACCCCCCTTCTTTTTCTATTCCATCTATTCCACTCTGATCGGCCCCCCGGCGGCTCTCGTCCTGACCGTGCCGGCCATTCAACCCCACACATCGATTTCCGAATCGCTACCGCCCTCACCCCAGAGGGGGGGGCCGTTTGGGCTAGAAAAAAGGCTCTCGCAAAAAGTGCCCAACGTCGAGAGCAAAGAGAGAGAACGGGTGGAAAAAAGAAACGGGGGTTCTCGGTTAGCAGGAAGGACGGAACTGCTCGCGCTAAAATGTGCCCCTGGGATTTGTAGGGGTCCAAGAAAAAGAGGAAAATAGTTGAGAGCACATTGAAAGAAAATCGAAATAAACCCATTAAAAAACCACGATCTAGCTTCTTCTCTTGTTCTAAGTTATGCTTTTTGCTTTTCATTCTTTCCGAATTGATTCAAATTACGTACCGATTTCTCAGATACTCGTAGAGAGGGGCTAATCGGTTTAGAATGGATTTTGTATTTTTGAGCATTAACACCCCTGTTTCAAATCCCCGGCCAATTTTTCCCAACGCAAAACCTAGAGGTCCCCGGCATTTTCGCCACCACTAACTTTCCGCAACTTACACCGATCCCCCATCGCCAACCTAAGTTGCCAATTTGGGTCCCCTATAGGAGCAGCAGATTAGAGGGCCAGTGCGGGGGGTGAAGGAGCGCCGAGGGGAGAGCCGTGTCATTTTTTATCGCGATTGGCGGGGCTGGGGCCCGTGCCAGCCAGTGCGCTGGCCCTAGGGGCCCTCGGAGGGCCCTTTTCTGAACGCAGGGTGTCTCGGGGGTAAAAGGAGGGGCCCTTTTGGAGACTTGTACTGCCATACCGGAACATGGCACTGTCCCACCCCTGTTAGGGGCCACGGTAGTATCAAACTGAAGAGGTTGGCTGCCCTTGTAGTTTCATTCCGTCAGACGCTATATTCGCTGACTGCTCTTAAATTGGTCAAGCTACAGTAACCTTGGCTATATTCTGTATTCAAGCTTTGTATTCGTGACCCATACCAAATACGGTACCTACCGTATTCGTCTTTCCACCCCTTCCGCTCATACAAAAAACTGTCATTCACAGCCATGCTTTCCTCCCAGCTTTCACAACGCTTTGAAGTCGTGACCGTCGTTGGTTTGCCCGCAGGCATGACCCTCGAAGACGCGTTAGAGGCAATCCAAGAGCCTATCGCCGATGCGGTGCCTGGCACTCGCAGAAGGCCCGTTGTCGCCGATAACACCTCTCAGCAGCTCCAGCAACACCCAGACGGCCAGCCGGCTTCGTCGGGTACCATGCCCATACGCACTACCACCTTTCCTATGTACAGTCATGTCATTCCGAAATACACCACTGCCAATCCACAGCAGGCTACGAAATTGTTTAAATTGATTAATGAGAGGTGGGGGAGTTATTGGAGATACTGTAGGAATTACCTGGATTTAATGTTGAACCTGAGTTTATAAATTATTTTAGCACTCCTGGCGATTCTCCCCTTACCGGTCGCCACCACCACAATCCGCAGGACCCACATCATGGTGGAGGTATGTTTCAAAAAAATTTATGCAAATTTTATAAAAAACTTATCTACTTTTGCTTACCTACTTTGCTGAGATCATTATCTTGCTTTTTGAACTTGAGGCAATTTTGAGGGTCGCGCCTGGCCGAGCCAGTGTTCCTTCCCTCTTTTACAACTTTTCCATCTTTGCCCGCCCTGTCTGGTCTAGCGCGCACTCTCTTTGCTAAAGGGCGCCCCAGTCGCCAAAGGTCACCTACTTCCCCAAGCGCAACCTTCAAAATCCCAAAATTAATCTTATCTCAAAAGCGCTTTAACTATACTCTTTCAGTAATGTACCAAAACGGTCGGCTGCCCGACTCTCCACCCATCACCGAAATTTCGGCCCCTGGCAGCTCGGCCTCCCCGCACAGCAGCAACTCGGAGAGCCCATACAGCCCCAATGAATACACCGGCTATGGACGTGAGTATTTGTCGGCAATAACCATTAACTCGCCGCAATTGGTCGCGCACGCGACATTGCCCACCGTCCCCCACAGGTTTCCCGCGAAAACTCCGCGCACTTCTGCATATTAAGCCCGCCAAAACCTTCGGGACTCATCATTCCGACTCGGTGTCACCCGCTCAATCCTCACTTTCAGTGCTCCCACACAACGGGAACAACGGGTTGATCCTGGCCCCGAACGATTTGAGCTTGATGGGACAGCAGACCGATATTTTCCAACAGCAGCTACCTGGTGTAAGTTATTACATAATTCTAGCTATCAGGAAAATCGATTAAAACCAAAGTCTCAAAGATATATTTTCAGATGAATGGACGCCTAATCCAAAATCAAGGACTAACAAGCCCACAAAGTGTCAACGGCGGCTACCTGAACAACTACCCACAGCAGCCGACCCCAGCCAGCATGACCCAAGTATCGCCACAGCCACAAGGCCAGCGAATGAACAACAATGGCAACTACTTCGACAGCGGCATGCTTTATCAGAACAACTCCGGCTCTGACGGATCCATCAACTCCGCTGGCATGCCATCATCCAAGAAGTGAGTACTGTAAATTAAAACTTATCCCTTTTTTAGACGCCCGAGGGTGATGCCGATGGCGAACAGCCTGCCACCACAGGGTCAGATGCAGCAAATGCTGCAGAGCCCGTGTGGCAACGACTACGACGAGAATGGCTTCCACAATTCGGAGATGATGATCCGCTTCTTCAAATTCCAGGAGGAGAGTTGGCAGCCGTTGTTTGACGTCAACCATCAGCAGCTGAATCAGCTTCAGGTATGCGTTAACCGATGGGTTATATGATTGCTCTTTAGACCCATGTCGTTGCTGACAAGGGCTTCAACTATTCGTCGATGGACAACTGCTTTGTGAACCAGAAGAAGAACCACTTCCAGGTGATTACTTCAACCTTAAAAAAAACATAGAATCGCGCTTTTTAAAGTTTCTGCGCTAGGGAAATGATTTCAGACGTGGTAGCTCAGACATTTGACCAAGAAGCAGTTTGCAAATTCTGAGATTCTGAAGCCCCTGATTTGAATAAGACCAGCTGTAGCGACTACCATCGGTTACTGTACCCCTCAACAGTTGCGGCATCACATTTTTGCATACTTTTTCCAAGTTTTTACCCCCGCTCCCGACCCTTCCGTCCTCTGACCAGCTGGCACCAAAAAGGGCAGTGAGTGCGCGAACGAACGGCGCGCTTACGCTTTCGCAACGAGCGCTTTTTTGTTCGGGGGGTTTTAGGGGGGAGGATGGCTTTTGGGGTGGGTGTTTGCATGGGGGGAAGAGGAGGGAGTGACGAGAAGGGCGCTCTCGCCCGCCTCGCGTGCCGGGGTGTACCACTCCCGTCTGTGTATGTGGGGGCACCGCTCGAGACCGAACGGAAAAAGCGCCTCCCGCAACGAAGAAGGGCCTCCCGTATGTGTGTGTCGATATTAGCTCGCTGGACAACCAAAGAAAGAGAGAAACACCACAAATGGCATCGCATCCAAAATCGGGTAGTTAGGGGAAAATGGGGATGAGATGTTATGGGGGAATGCGGTAAAAGTTGGAAAGTAGCGAACGCCCGGTTCCGAATGTTCAAACGGGAAAATTCGCTTACGCTAACTTTGTATAATAAGAAACATGAAATGAAGCTGTAAAATAACACTGACGTTGGTAAATACCAATCGAAGCCTTATTTTAATGGGGACAAAAAGTGCAACATTTGCCAACTGTAAAGCAAATCATCCATAAAAATAGTATATGTGGCAATATATGGAAATATATTGGCTACGCCTTATACACGACTCCAATCGATATGCATAAATATACAAAACCATTCCAGATCACCGTCAACATCGAAGCTGCCGATTGCCTTCCAGCCCGTTTCGTCCGTGTCAACGGCGAAATGAAGGAGATCAAAGAATTCCGCCTTGGCTTCACCGGCGTCAAGAACGAGATGTGGACCAGCGAAATCCCGATCAAGCAGTCCCAAACCGACCGTCGACCCCAGCCGCACACCCCTGTCACGTAAGAACATCACTTCTAAACAAATAATATTCTCGATTTTAGCTTCGAAATCACGGAACGTCGTCTGACCAAGGTGACGGTCCCTCGCCTCCACTTCTCGGAGACGACCCAGTCGAATCAGCGCAAGGGCGGCAAACCCAACCCGGACCAGCGCTACTTCTTGCTCATCGTCCGCATCTTTGCCGTCACCGCCGATGACCATGCCATCCTTTGCCAGGCCTACAACTCCGACAAAGTCATCGTTAGGGTGCGTTTTTAAGGAATCTTCTATTAACAACACTTTATTCATTTATCAGCAAAATATTCCGGGTGTTCCCTCTGCCAATTGACGGGGATCTCATTGTAGGTGTCGTCGTTTAGGCGTTGAACCCAGAAGGGGTGTTCATGAATGGTTTCTGGGATGACCACCTCAAATTCGGGTAGTTCTTCTAAAAAATAAAATATTGGTGTTTCTTTGTATATTCGTACCGATAGGATCAACATAATCAACTCCAGGTTGTCCTTCCCGAACTGGCGGATCTTTAGGAGGTCCCAGTCTATCATCAGTGCATCCAATCCATATTGGCACAATGTGTCGATGTTCATGTCCATCTTCGGCAATAGAGATCGTCTAAAAATCTATAGATCAAAGTATTTAGATACCATACCTCCAAAGCGTAAGATATCACCACAACGTTCCAATAGCTGACTTCAATTGATGGTGTTATATGGGGTGGAATATGAAGTGCCCATTCCTGCAAGACATTTTTCATATTAATAATATTTAAACCTCAGGCCACATATCAGAATCTTCTGGACTATCCACAGAAGTAACGATCCGTTCAGTACAATAGCTCCCATCCTAAATTGACTTTAGCTTTTTTTGGAATAAAAAGAAACATGTGTCAGCCCGGGTTGCCGTAGTCGCCTCTGCTGTATCAGAGCAAGCCGAACTTTCTTCGCCGGCCCATAGATTGTCGCAAAGACCCATTTGCCCCTTTGAAAACACCTCTGGGTCATTGTCATTCCAAATCTGAATTCTGAGCTTGATTTCTAGTACAAATCCCACTTTCCAAGCTGCTCGTGAAACGAAGCTTTGAATTCCTCCCGGGCCCAAGTATCCACCCATCTGGTCACTTGAAAATCTCTTGCAGCTTCCACCTGATTGAACTTTTTAGATAGTCTATAAGTTTTACCTGGTTGACTTTCCATGATACCGTACTAACTTTTATCGAATACTTCACATCTTCCCCTAGCGAAGGTGGAAGTATATGAGTATCGTACTGGTTATCCAAAAACGGCAGACTGATCTAAAATCCCAAAATTAGCACCTTACACCGGAAATACCTTAATTCGATGCTCGCCAGGGGAGAAGAGCGTCTGGGGATCGGTGGTTGCTATAGCCTTGTAGCGGATAAATTCAAACCAAGAGAGGCCCGCCCGGCATTCCCCAATCATGAGAAGTCTATAAATAGGGTAGATTAGTATAGTAGCACTTTTGATAGCTTACCGAATAGAACGTAACGGCCGCGGTTCTCTTGCATTAACAACAAAGGCGATCTCGCAGTAGGCATTTTGCAGCCCTTCATCAGAAACGATGTGTAGTCCATCAATATCAATAGAATATAAGCCTCTTTCTTTTGCATCAATATCCCTAAAATATTTATTAGACATTACGCCTGACTTACTGTGCTTTTGTTGCTTCATCTAGGTCATCAATTTCCGAGTCGTAGTCGTCGTCATCCTCGCTGTCATCATTTTTGTCCGTAGCCCGCTTATGCAAACGAAAAGCCTCCTGCTTATCAGGATGCCCTTCTTTTCCCTGAATGCACATTAATGGGACCGTGACGCATTTTTACCTTCACATGGTCACTTGTTAATACAAGTGGCTGATAGATATCAACCCATTTCGTCGTAGATTGGGCTTTGATTTGGAGGTAGACAAAATACTTGATAGACAACACATTCCAGAGGCTCATTTCAATTGAGGTATGCAGATGCTTTGGGACTTTGAGAGTAATATGCCCTTTTCCATTCCCAATTTGCTTGGTCTCAGAAACTAGTAGTTGCTTCATAGATTCTAATTGGGTATGATGCCCCGGGTCGGCATGCCGGAATTCCATGATTTTCAGAAGCGATACTTTAGCTTGCTGTAGTTTGACAGTACATTCAAGATCCCATCTAAAAATATAATATAATATCTTCCGAATTGTTTTACTTGAAAAGTATCTCTTCATCCCAGGTATAGGCTCCTTTTTCCAGAGCAACAGTACCGTTTAGCGCGGTACAGTTTCGATGGAACAACCCGCCGTGTCCTGAATTTATATTATAGGTTTAACTACTAAACCTACCAACACATTCATTAACCGTTTGCTTCGTTTCGTAGGCAGCAATGTGAGGCTGCTTTAATTGGAGGGTCCGGCGAACCGTAAATATCTTTTCGACATGGGTGTTCAAAAACCAGGGATCGATAGCGGCACGAACACTATCTAATTCAAGATTTTGCTGTTAAAGAAATACCTATATTCGATAAAAACGCCCTTCATAACTTCCATTGAAGGCGGGAATCTATTAATCCACGCCTCCACATCAACCCTAGAATAATTTAGCAGATTTTTGGAATTTTCTTACGTATGATTAGAATCCCCAGCTTCAGCAACAACCCAAGCTTGTTCATGCAGAAATTCATAAAGCAAAGCTCTCTGGCTTCTTACATAGCCACGGAAAACAATCTAGAAAAAGATTAAAACACAAGTTAGCAAATGCCTGGCATGAATGACGATATTCACTATCGTTCCTTATAGCTACTTTAGCCACCAAACGCTCATCATGATCGGATTCGTAAACATCCTTCGTCTCAAGCTCCACTACTTTAGCAAAAGTCTTAGTTGGTAGATTAGCATTAGCATTATTAGGCTCGGCACGTTCGATACGTTCTTCTTTTCGGCTAGTCATCCAGAATATCAGAGATGTGCTCCGACTTGGGGGGGTCTTCTGGCTTGGGTACGCCGGTTGCTACGTGCCATCAATTAGGCATTCAAGGCGTGCGTCCTGTTTTCGGATCTTTGTAGCTTTAGGATGGCACAACAGGGGGCACCGGAACACTATGCTGATGATGAAATCCAACAAAAAGAAAATAATAGCAATAATGCCGATTTATAGGCGACCAACCCTGGGCAATTCGAGCAGCCCGATGTCGACATGAACTTCCAGAAGAATGGCGACATCATGACCTATGCTGGACGCATGGTTGTTGGAGGCGACAAGCCAATTGATAAGGTATAAATATCACGAATGATTAGAATAATGACAAATTATAGGATGCGATCCTCTCGGTCCACGGCAACATCGTCGTTTCCGGAAACTACTGCCGCCCATCCGACGAGCGGCTGAAGGAGAACATCTCCCCGCTCGATAAAGAACAAGCCGTCGAACGCTTCAAGAACTACGAAATCGTCACCTACGATTACAAGCCTGAGGTGGCCGAAGCATGGAACCTCGATGAGAAGAACAAGACCCGAGCTGGTATGATCGCTCAACAACTCCGCGAGGTCTACCCTGAAGCCGTCATGAACAACGGCGAGTTCCTGACCATCGATGAGAATCGCCTGTTCTACGACAACATGCTTGTCACCAAGGAACTGATGTCCCTCACCCAGGAGCTTGACAAGAAGATTGTCGACAACGTCGATGAGCTCCAGAAGCGCATCAAGTACCTCATGCGCAAGAAGCAGCTCCTCGGATCCATTGCCAGTGGCCTCAGCGATGCTACTTCCGGCTATGGTGACTCGAAGTCGTACATGTCGCTCAGCCAGCCTTCCCTTACCGACATCAAGGAGAAGAAGAGCAAGAAACAGTGCCACAACCCGACCTGCCACCGTAACCAGCCCTTGTGCAGCCCCAAGCTCACCCAGGGCACCATCATCGGTCTGGTTGCTGTCATGGCTATCTGCCTGCTGACGATGACCACGCTCTACATTATGGATTGGCACAACCGGAACAACAGCCTGCACACCGTATATCAAATCCCGTCCCACAAGAGCCCAAAATCGGATGATATCGGAACGATGATGAAGTCAACGAATCATTGGGTACCAGCGAGTCAACCAGGAATCGAACCACTGATGGGAGTATGCCAGCAAGATCAATGCCAACGCTATTGCTGCGGTGATCCAACGAAGTACCGACCGGATATGCATATGCTGGATGATGATGAGATGGATGTTGTTGATGGACTGGCTGCACACCAGCAGGTAGCGGATTTCGCAGCGTCACTTATAATTTTATTTTTAGACTTTCGAGAAACGCTCCGTCCCATCCTACCCGGCTAGCAGCGAAGCGACGACAATCGAGATCCTGAACCTAAATGTGACGTTGAGCGACGCCTACTGCTACGAAAGCTGCTCCAAGAAGCGCGGTCGCTTCAACTACTACATCCCGATCTCCTCGTACATGCCGACTATACCCCTGCTCATCCGCATCAAGTAAGTCAGCACCAGGAGAACGTGGATTAGCTGTTTTTTAGCGCTCCGAAGGGCAAGATGGTGAACAACTGCGGCTACCTGGTGGACTTCCAGGAGAAGCCGTGCTACTCGGAGCAGGAGTCTGGCGTTAGCATCCAGAAGGCGCAAATTCCATATGCGACGCAGGTAAGAGAATGAGAAAACTTTAGTTGTAATATCATTATAGCCTTGGATACGCAGCGTAACCAATTTTTTTTCAGATCTCGGATGAACTATTCGAGGTATCCGCCGGCTCCTTCATGCAGTCGGCCTACCGATTCCGTGTCGGCTACACCACCGAAGCCTGCTACTCCCTCGGCATCTTCGACGAGTTCAACCTCGTCTTCTACCGCACCTGCGGACCCCCAGATGCGCAACCAACCACCGCATAAAAGTGACCCCCACCCCCAATCCAAACAAGTATAAAGCCCCGAAAAACCAGGACCCTACTCAGTAACCCTTTCCCGTCTCTAGTCAACCACCCCAACACTCCACACAAAAACTATTTTTGTTAATTTTGTCATCGTCAGGATATTTGTAATATGGGTCACCCTGTTTTTCTTTGAACCCCATGCCCCCACAGTTTTGCCTTTGCTTTTCGATGGCTGGGCCGTCCCCAAAATTCCTCTTTTTCTATCTGGGGTCCATTGCATTTTGTAAATACTCGTCTGGTATCCGCCGCAGCGTGTTTCGTGTGATTTCAAATGGCCGGGCTCGTGCCCGTGCAATCTGTTTTTAAGCAAAAATCCTTTGTTTTTGATTGATTTTCTTATTTACCTTTTTATGACGCATATACTTGTGTATTTTCTTCTAGCTTGGTGTGTCCTTTTTGGTAATCGTTAACCGGCTGTAGAACTGCCCCGGGTCCGTTGTCGAGGGCTAACCACCCACTTCACCGACCATCCTTAGTTAAAACACGGAACAATTTGTGCATTGAAACTCCCGATGTTGAATCTTTTCCTCCTAAAAATCTCGTCTTGTTTATTCGTGTATGACTCTACTCTCTCCGCAAAACTACCTTTGTAATATTTCCCATTGATCTAACAGTACCCTTTGAATTTCATAGCGTAATTGTATACGTGTACACAGCGCCCCCTTTGATACCTTCCCATACCCCTCCCAATACCCATTCAGGATCTAACCGAAAACCGTATTTTCTTTGTCAAAGCGCAGGTAGTCATCAAATCGTGTCCCGAAAAGCAGCAGCAAATCCCGAAACTATTACCCTAATTTTCTCGCGTTGCATTGATCCTCGTCATTTCTTGCGTTTCATGTTAATTTATAATGTATGCATTGAATAAAATCATTTGTAAATCAAAGTCATTTTATCACGTATTAGTTACCCGGGTAAAATAGTGTACAGAGCTGAGATGGAATCTAGGACCTGGCGGTCGGTTTTGCAGACGGTGAAGAAGTCGGCTTTTGTGATTCGGCCTTTCTTTCCGAGATCAAATTTCTGGAAAAACAGATTGCGCCAATAAATATATTATTTTACCTCAAAAATCAAATTAGCTCTTTCCGCACGTTGTTCCCTAGACGTTGCAGGTCTAGCTTTTCGACCTATCATGCAAATTAATAATTTAAAGTGTTGGATTCAAACCGATTAAATCGTCCGTCGCAGTAATCACATAGAAAAGTCGATGCCATGTAATTTCACCTTTATTTTTCGGATCATAGACCTAGAAAATCTTTTTTAAGTTATACTCCGGATAGACTAACCTTATATAACCAATTTAGTTTCTCATCCATAGTCCCACGACATAAAACCGATAGCGCTCGGACAAATTCCTAAAAAAAGCGTTTGTCAATATTAATCAAAACTTACTTGAAAATTTATAACTCCGCTACCATCATCGTCAAAGGTATCGAATAGTAAATCGGCGTAGTGTTCAATATCGCCTTGTGGGAATAGTTCAGCGAATTTTTCTCTAACATTCTCTCGGTTGATCACGGCATTAGGAGATGTTTCCTAGGATTACTGTATCAATAGAGATAAGCTCATACCTTAAATGCCCTGTAGATCGACCGCACTTCATTTTTAGAAAAATGCGTCTCATCCACGACCTAAAACAAAGAATTATCTAGGTGTCAAGAATATTACAGTTCTCAAATCGGCGCGTTCGTATAGGAATGAGGTTAGAATCAGAGGTACCGACTCCTTTGACTTATAGCCATAGGTCTTCCTAGTACCTATCAGAAAGTTCATAGCACGTGAGAATGAGCTGCGGTGGATGGCTGAGGCCCGGGGGAACACCCGCGACCAAGGGCCCACCGTCGCTGAGGTGCCGTTTTTTGGCATCTGATGGCCCATTTGGCCCTCTTACACATTCATGAGATTTGGCACTCTCAGATTGGGGGCACAGAACCGAGGGCAACCCCATTCGTTTCCCGCCGGGATCCGGGGGGTTTGGCCCTTCCGCAAACTTTTTTGGGTGGTGTCTTTGAGTTTTTTTGGGGAGAGCGACTCATCAGGGCCGGTGATTGGCACTATGGACAAGAGGGGGACGAGTTTGTCATGCTATAGGGATGGGACCGAAGGTAACCACAGAACAGCTTGGGCAGTTGGTCCACCGGAAAAAGGAAAGGTTATTATTTTATCGAGGTCACATGTTACCAGATTCAAATGCGCGAATGCGAAATTGATCGATTGAGTGAAGCCTTACGAAAAAAAGATGAAATCACCCAATGGATCAAATATTACCTGCTGCAAACTGCTGGGCCTGTAGACGTTCTTGAAAAGAGGAGAAGAGAGTGGCACATCCTCCTTGTCTGAACCTATATATTCAAGTATTCGATCCTAGTTTAAGCTTACTGATTATCGGCCCTCCACTCGGGTCAAACGCATTTGGAAACGGTACGGAAATTGCAGCCCGCCGTCGGAAACTGCTCATCTCATACCTGGACATTGTAGTTAATGGTTAAAAGGGAAAAAACCAACGTCAGGGTGGTGAAGTGACAGAACAAAAAATGTATTTTAGCGTAAAGTTTCTGTAAATCATAAAATTGAGGCGCATCGTCGCTAAGAAATGCCGACAACTGCCTCCGAAATGCTTTCCCCAGTCATTAAAACCCCCCCAACATCCACCAGATTACCCGGACATGTGGTAACGAATGCCACCGGAAATGACAGCTAACCAAGAAAAGCGCCCAACCCCACCTTCTCGGCGTTATTTTTCAAAGTAGTATAGCCGTCGAAACAAACAAACAAATATCATATAACCACCCCAACACAACCAATACCCCATATCAGCCAGCAACCCCCAAGAATAAACCTGTCAGACATGTGTTTATCGAGGGATGAAGACAAATGACGGGAACCGGATTAAATGATAATCACATCGATCGGGTAACGGCCCAAAGGGAAAAGCGACCTCCACGGGGGGTGTCAGTTGCCAGGGGGTCTAGCCCAAAAGCCGATCCCTCGCCATTTCGTCCCACCCCAACTATCAAATCATGCCCTCCCTAGACCCCTAGGCTTCCCCCACCCAGACCAGGAACGTCGGACCCATGCAAGCCGGAACTTTATTTTTGGGGATAAAAATAGATGTTTTACCTCTGGGGATCGTGTTGGTAATTTGGCCAGACGTTTAAGGGGATAAAAAAGTTTGAAGTTAAAGGTATGTGATTTCAAATCGTAATCAGGTGGGAAAAACCGCACCCCCCAGCGCATTATGGATGCCAGATGTTGTTTGTATGTACTCTTATAGCTAAGTATGGAAAATTAGAAAGGCCAATGCAATTTACGATCGCGACGTATTTAGGATCATTTCAAATTGCGCAAATGTCGTTCAGCGTTACCGCAATCGGTTTGATAGGAAATCCAACTCTCGAATCGGCGCACTACTGTTAGCCAAGACGTTGTCGGTTGCATCATTAGTGCCTTCATCAAATGCCCTTCTTTTTCAAAAAAAATCTTTATCCATTAAAACCACATGCCAGTTCCTAAAAAAAACAAGTGAGATCACATGTGCCCGGTGTTGCTGCACCCAAAAAAGAAACAATTCTCTTCATATCCACATCCCTATGCGATCCTCCTGAAAATCGGCGGCACCACGTTTTCCATATATTCCGAATACGACTGCATATTCCCCATCGGATCGTACTTTACGACAACGTAGACAAGGGGAAGCCCCGACGATCGGACACACCTATAAAAATTGCTTTTTAAAAACCGGGCATGCCGATGTCTGTCCGGCGAATGGGACTGACGCGAGCGAAAAAGTAATTCATGCCCATCGCCCCTGTCTAGGGGAGCTGTTTCAATAAAAAAATCGCGGAGCAATTACGCGGGTGATGGGGATTTTTATTTACCTTCCACGACCGGTCGAGGTCTTGATCGCGATGCCGACACCCATCCTGGTCGTTGAGCGCCAGATTAATTGAGTGAAATGACCGACTTTGTGGTAGAGGTTGGGGGTGAAGCTGAAAAATGAGTATATTTGATAGATACCTTGTATTATTCCCTAGCTTATTAACTAAATATAGATTTTTAATGTTTGCAAAGCTTAATCGTATGAGTTTTGCAGTATTGAAAAAATTTGCGATGCCGTATGCTGACTATGCATTAAACACTAACAGCAAAAAAGCAGATATTTTGCCAAGAACAAAAGATTTACTAAAGTACGCCAAAATCGACGATTACCTGCGCATTATGCTATGAACTCCAAATCCCAATTTTTTATAATATCGTCTATGCCAAAAGCGCATCCTTTCAAAACGCATTTTTTATAGCTTGGATTTTAATTTTATGTATTAAAATGTGTCGTAAAGACCGGATTACCCCGCCCCCCTCCACTATCCTATCAAACATTCCAGACCCAAAGGCCCCCTCCCCGGACTTGCAAGCGTCATTTACTACTTGCGCGCGCCACTCGCCCAAGCAACAAACTGACCTTGGAAGGACTCCCCCAAAGAAATCCCGACTTTTCCCAGTGCGCGAACCTGCAGCCTGACCACAAACTCAGACTCACTCGGACACAAGAAAGCGGACGCCGGGGCGGAAATGGGACGCTATCGCTTTCTAGCAGGTTCGCCATTTCCACCTATCGGCTCGCCAGCTCGGCGCAGCCTGAGATCCCTGTTAATCCACTAGATTTCAAGGACGCTTCAGGGAGGCTGGAGATGGTGATGGCTTGCAAAAAATTCGGGTGAATTGAGAGGGCCTGGAGCGTGGTCATGGGGTGGAATTTCGGTAGAAGCAGGAAGTGAACCTGGGGGAACGAGTCGGGCACGAAAAGGTGATATTAAAAGATTTCTAAAATTGCGCTATCTATTTTATTACCTTTATATATCTGGCTATTCAATATGAAAGTTCTATGTTCGTTTTTAATCGAAAATTCGTCCTGCTTAACGTTCTCACCCCATCTTGGGGAACCCCCTCCTACAGTAACCCCGCCGTGTTTTGTCCCCTCACTTCAACACCCCACCCAAATTTCCCCCGTACCGCGAAAAGCAAAAAACTGGAACAACCCCAGTCAAAGCCAGCTGTGATGATTTCCAATGATGTGTTGACATTACGGAACTCGCTCCAGGCGTCGTCACAGACGCCCCAAGCTTTTGCTGAGCGAACGTTGGGGCGAGAGGAGTGTTTAGCAGCCATTATGGATCTGGACATAGCTTCCGGCGGAGACGGTTGGAGTGATTGATGACGGCGCCTTACAGGCGAGCCTTCTCCAAAAGCCAGTGCTTCTTTAACCGGAGTAGAAGATTCAGCTGATCAGCCAGCCGTTCTTCTCGGCTTCCCTAACGGATATGGCCTTGGGGTGAAAACGGACGCACAGATGGGAATAAAAAAATTGAGAAGTAGAATAGGGGTTATCTTATCATAACAAAACAAAGCACGAGGGCAAGACCTGAATGCAGCGTACCGGTTATAGTTATAGTTGATGCCTTCTTGGTAGAAGCATTGGGTGACGGCTTCCGCGAACATATCGGGGGAGACGATCTTGTGACCACCGTAGAAGAACAGGTTTTCACCGTAACTGAAAATGAAATTAATTTGTCACCGGGTATCGACAACTGACTTCTTCGGCTTTTCATGCTTTAAGCAATCCTGAGTGGCCGCCAATCTGTCAGCATAACGCTGTGCAGCTGCATCAAGCGCAGAATCACGGTTTAGACTCGAGCAGCCGTGTTTCGCCCGATAGGCATTGTGGTGGATCACCATCTGAACAGTTGTCAAAAAAAAACTTGAATAGAGCCCTTACTCGTTCTTTGAAGGCGCGGATGTCAAAAACATGGGCCGGCGTTCCAGAGCGCACACCTTCACGTAAGAGGAAAAATCGAATGGCATCAATCTACAACATATATATTTGATGAGATCTATTAAAAAGGTTACCGTATTCAAACGAGAAACACTGGATGAGCCTCGTGATGATAAAGTAGCTAACGGATAAGAAGTGGTCGGAGGTCTTGTTGTGTATGTCTTCCTTGGTTTCCACTTGCTGATTTGTTGCGTCTTCTCAAAGACCCGGGTGCTCCTCTCATCATCTCCGCCGTTCAAGATTTGATAGGAAATACTATAAAACTTAATAATGAAAACCTATGAAAATCTTACTCCAAATGCCCCTTATCGGTCGCAGTCAGCACTTCAGCAGTTTTGTAATGGGAGTTCTTGATGTTCTGCCAGACCGGGTTCGTCACTGCTGCTCCAGCTAATTTTACGCGCACGTAGTAGTAGTTGCCCTAAAAAGAAGATGAAGAAAAAGGGGATGGTTATACCTTCCGGTTGAACTTTGCATTCAAGCACTTTCTCGGGTTGTAGCTTCGTGTACACGCGGCGCTGTAACTGATCTAAACAGCGAATAAGGATCATAATTGGTGCGTGTTTTACCAGATGTGTACTTTCCATTGCCGATTTTCCTTCTAATTCAGGTGAGCACTCACAATCTCTACTAGTCGATGGATTGATGACTGGGGAGTAGCAGGCGCAGAAACTGTAATAAAAGTCGTATACAATTATACTTGTCAAACACGTACGTTAATTTATAATGTTCATTGGACCCTTCGCCAGCTATCATCCATTTTGCAAGACCTTTAAATCTTGATAAGATGAGCTCCGAGGTTTCCGCTTTTGCAAGCTAAAGCAAGAGTTATATCGAACGGGTTGCTTACGGTCGGTAGCCCGAAAAATATGTAGATGAAGTGCTGAAGCCTGAGGATCATGACTTTTTGTGTGTCTATGCGCGAGAGAGGATTTCTCAGAAATGAGCCCTCCCAACACCAAGCCCTTTATAGGCGTTTCCGGTGCAGGGGGCTGATCGCCCAACTCCGCCCTGCTACACCCGTTCGACCCCCGGCTGCTCCTGCTTTGCTTTTACCCTTTCTTTTACTTGTTCTACCCCCGCAGCCTTATCCCACGGCTCATCCAATCAAATAGTAAACAAGCCCAAGGCTACGGGAGTTGTGCGCCATGTGCGCGTGCGTGGGGTCGGCGCGTTTTCAGTTCAAGGTGATATTTTGCATCCGGTACGGTGGGTATGTTTTCAAAAAAAAGAGTAGAGCCGTGTGTTTGCATGGTAACATAGCTGCGCATTTTATAGAAGCCTAAAATAGTTGCAGCAGATGCAAAATCTTAAATCTTAGAAGGCAATCCGCAAGATGTGAATTATACACTTGCCGGAAGTCATAAAGAAGCAGTTTGCTGCTAGATAAAGGCTCATTTTCATTTTTTTAGAAAATTATTTTGTCGAAGTACCTATATCTAAATTTCATTGCCTTTCTCGCATCGGTTATTTACCACAAAATTTTGCAAACGAAAAATTCAACGCATGGAGATTTCGACAAAATGATATTTCGACAAACTGATAACAAGTGTAAGTGGAAATCATGTGTTTTGAAATTCTGAATTGAACCAAGAACAATAAAACCATTTTATTGATTTCATAAGATTTAAAAAATGTAAAGATCTTTTTCAATTCTTAAAACCTTATTCACCGACAACGATATTCAATCGATTTTTTACAGTCCACTCATCAGCCACCACTCCGCCACCGAAAATCGTGCGGAAAGTGCATGTTGGCCGGAAATCAAATGAGCAGGCTGCAGTTCCCCCTTGTCCTTTACAGTTTTATGAGTACTATACGATTGGGGCTCAAGGCCGCCCCACCCTACACTCATCCGGCTCTACCTGTTGTAGGACGGAATTTCGTTGCTCTCGTTGAGACCACTTAGGTATTTTGGCCTAAGTAGTAGTCATCGGGGATTTGCACTTTTTGCGGCGATCAACTTCAAGTAGGAAATGTGCATCCAGCTGTATGCAAATGTGGATCAAATATTTGGATAAAAGAGGCCGATACTGGAGAGGGCAAAGCCTTCTGATTTCTAGCAAATTCATAAAAACAAAGAAGTTCAATTTTCTAAATTCAGATTATCCTACAAGATTTAAAAGAATTTCTTTAATTTTATTCTACAAAATTAGTTAATTAAAAGTAAATGAATTTTGGTTATGCGTAAGCCGCATGCTAATTATCGTTTTCACTCTGAAAAGGGCGTAGTTTCTAGGAAAACGCCTTACATAGGAAAATCTCATGCAATTAAAAAAGGAAAACCGCCTATTTTCTCGAATTTTTGGAATATGGTCATTTGGAATGGAGTAAAAATCATTTTAATGAAAGTCTGAGTAGGGGCTGCTTTTTGGGACACAATCGAAATATATGTTTATGGCAATAGATTATGCAAATTATTCGTAAAATAACTATGATTCAGTGCTTTATGGTGCTGTAATTTTATTCGTCTTTTTTATAATATTTATTCATCAGACTACAGAGCAAATTGCATCAGCAGTCATGGGGCAACGGCTAAACGAGCAATATTTTAAATCGGGGGAGTACGGATAAGTTAAGAGGCCGTGAAGTCGGATGGCATTCAAATTGCACATTTCTAGAAACGGGGCAGAAAGCCCGGGCACTCGATATGGGGGCTTTGGACTGGAGACTACAGGTCAAACTCAAGCTATAAAAAAATTTAGGAAAATCGTGCCACAGTCTCAAGCCAATTTTCAATAAATGACTATCATCAAATCGAATTTAAAAAAACTCACAACACGTTTGCGGTATTAAAAAGCTTTTCGTATGCGGTTCACAAGGGGGGAGTGATAATAGAGAACGGGGAAATGGACACCGGCATTGTTGCCAGGGAATGCAGATGAATATGCAAATGAATAGAAGAAGGATGCACGAGTAGAATTCAGATGTCTATATGTCGTGTTTCACACCGATAAATGAATAATTCGTTTTACAAACTAGTAGGGACGTCTCCGCGTTTTCATGTTTCAACTTGGTTAACTTGGGGGTATCTTTGGTTACGGTAACCGAATAATTTTGGAAATGGCGGGGTGATGATGGCTGCGGAATTAGACTTGGGGCCATTGGGGTAGAAGGCCGGCTCCACCGTAATATTGGGGGTAGAATGGTAGATATTGAGAGGCAGCTGCTGCTGAAGTGAGTTGTTGTAGCCCGAGTTGTGGTTGGAGGAGTGGAGAGGTGAGGAGGGAGCTTCCAAGGTCCGACAGGAGTGGCGTGGCTTGGGTTTGCTAAAAAAGTTATAACTAAAACTTGTAAAGGTATCTAAAACGACGTATCAAACGTGCTCTGGGGAATTATAGAAAACACTTACCACTTGAGCCTGCTGTGTGCGACCCCAGCTGCAGCGTACCAACTGCCCAGCCACCTCTTTCCCATTCATTTCCATAATTGCCTTTGTTGCGTCTTCCTTCCGATCATACCTATTATATAGCCAATATAGCTGTAATTTTTGTAAAAACAAACCTCACAAAAGCATAACCCTGTGCCTTAAACATCCTAATTTCGCTAATTTCCCCATATGCGGAAAACGGCTCCCGCAACGATTCTTCCGTGGTAGCTTGGCTGATATTTCCAACATACACTGAGGTGTTATCAGCTTTTGTTGAGTTGAAGACCTGACAAATTGAAATATTTCCTTCATCAATGTATGGCTTGATACCTGTTCGAATGTCAATGTATTTCGATTCTCATCTTGTGGCTTTCTGGCGGCCCAATTCGTCCTTACAGCCCTCTTCCCTATCCACTGTCCATTCATCGCTGTCATCGCCTTCTCAGCATGCTATAAATCTCACATTTAAATCCAAAACACTAACCCATAAATATTCAAAAAAATACTTGCAAAAGCGAACTGGGCCCAGAAAAAAATTGTTCCACCACGCCGCCATAATAATGACCGTTTGAAAAAGAAGAACCCAAAAAAGTATCCTACAACTCTAGGCGGCCGAATGCTTTCCGGCTCAGAACATCCAAAAAAACGCACCAAACAAATCTTCCAAAAAATGAACTCAAAGTGGAAATTGCAAGGGAAGAAGTGTTAGGGGCTTGCCAACCATTGGTTTTTTTTTGCGAAAATAAAACAAGTATCAAAACCCGGCATTCACCTGGCTTTGTGGGTCTCAATTAAAGCCGGAAATCGGCTAAAACAAATCAGTTAGGACTGGGAGGCAAAAAGGACAGTAGGAAATGGCATACAATTGACGATTACAGGGCGGCTTTCCGGATGGCGAAGCCCAAATTCGTAAAATGACAGCAATTTCAAAAATGAAAAGACTTTGAAAGAAAAGGGTACAACGTCAATTCGCTTAAAGAATCTTGAATTTAAAATGAAAAAGGGAAAATTTTCGTACCGCGACCTTCAAAAAAGAAAAAGATATCTAATTTGACGAATATTCCCTACCGTGGTTGGCTGATTGGCCGATTGATCTACAAGAAATACCGCTAATTTTTGGTTGCGGATGTGGGCGGGGATTGGCATTTAATTTATTTGATAACTAACCTCTTTGATAGGGAAGGAGACGAAACCATATCCTTTGGATTTTTGGGTTTGTGAATCGCGGATGACTTTTGCTTCACTAAAAAAAATTGGAATTAGCGGTGATCAAGGACAGATAACTTACGAAATTTCACCATAACCGGCAAAGGCGTCTTTTAGCATATTATTGGTGACTTCAGGGGATAGATCGCCAACGAAGACATGGTGATGCTCTAACAAAATAAATTTTTTAATTGATGGTATTAACTGGGTGACTTTCATAATGTCGAAATTCAGAATTAGGGATCCATAATGTTGAAAGTTGGGTAAATCATCTACCCCGGAAAATCCCGGAATACTACGCAAAAATTTCGACATCATGAAATGTTTAAATTATGAAACTTCGCCATTACGATAGAAAATCGTACTACTTAACTTACTGCTTGTGTCCACTTTAGGTTCTTGAGCAGCATTAGCAAGAATCGTGGCTTGAATTTCCTGAAAATCACCATAAATCATTTTGGCGTGTAGCTTAACAAATGGAACATCAATAAGAAAGGATGGTACAAATTTAAAGCACTTACAGCAGCTTTCTGTAGCGCAGCCATTGACACCGAATTTGTGCCGGCCTGTTGGTTGACGATGAAGATCGGAATTCCCTCATAACCGCCGGGTTGTGCAGCACCAGCACCTGGTAGTTGTGCCTGGAGTTGTTGCTGGAGGGCCATCTGAAATGTTTTAATGTCGGCATTTCCAGTAATTACGTGATAAGCCTATGCAAATTAAGGGCCAACTCTAACAAGTATCTATCTATTTTTCTTTTTGACAAACCTGTTGATAAATCGGCTGCATCGCTGCCAGTTGTGCGGCTGAGGAGTAGGGGAGTAGATTTTGCTGGAGGAGGGATACCTAAAATTATCAAGGGGATATTTTTGAGGATCTTAGAAATACCGGTGTCGTCGCCGGGCTTGTGGCTCCTGCGGATGCGCCGGATGAGCTGGCACCTAGTGCTGCAGCTGTCAGCATTTTCTGAAAATTAATTGTCATGCTATTTACACAAATAAAATCATGGCGTGGTTTTTACAAAAGCTATCATAGATTTTAAAATTTGGGTTTTATGGAAGTTTCGCTTGCGATTGTGGCAAATTTTGTATGTAAATTTGAAGTAAATTGTTCTCTTTCAAACTTGGCACAAAAGTTGATAGCTTTGGTGTACAACCTCATTAGATAATTTATGATATAATATATGAAAAAATCTCGACTCCAATAAAAAATCTGCCAACAACTAGAGCGACTCGCGAATTTCCAGAAAAAGGCGCCTATCAACCCGGAAGGGAAAGCGCCACGACCTTCCCAATTGGCAGGATTGGAAAACGATGATAGGGCTGATCTTCGATTGTTCGGTGGAAGATAATTCCACGCGAAAGGTGCTGCTAATGTAAATGCTAAGGGAACCAAAATTGGGCTAATCGAAAGTGGCACCTAAAAACGTGGGGTGACAGCCTTTACAGACACGTTACCCCAGTCACTGCATCGATCGTCGGGGGTGAAAGTTTTTTGGAATTCCTTTAAATAAGTTTAAAATACCGATCTCGATAATGGCTAGATAAAATTTCAAGGAAGTGTATCCCAGGCTGCGGTTGTTTACATTACAGGAAATGGGCAATTACGGTTTTTTTTGTGCATTATTTTTGGGGCACGGGGAGCATTGAAGCATGATGTTTTGAGCAGGGGTTTCAGATCGAGGATCCAAAATAAGAACGGCAACTAAATCTTGATGTAAAAAATAATATTCTGCAAAAAACCCAAACAAATCGATTTTAAAAAATCTCTGAAACCCGGCTGCAGGGCAAGAAAGTAAGCTGCAGATACTCGATTGGGTCAACCCGAGAGCTATGGGATATGAAGGGGGAATCGTTTTCGGAGGGATCGAAGAGAGGAGCAAGAGAGGAGCAACCAGGGGAGCCCCAGCTCGGTGTCTGTGTGAGCGCGCTTCATTTCTTCCCGGTGATCAGGGATGCCGACAACGAGGAGCAATAACACGACACCCGAATGACCTTATTACGGACGGACGGCCGTCTTCCTCCCCTCTCCATTTCTCTTGCTCCCCAGCCGGCGAACAGCCTAAGCCGAGCCCCCGAAAAAGAACATTTAATCGGAACGGCTCATGTCAGTGGTCTCGTGGTTTTATGATGGGATTGGATTTAATATTTTGATTAGAAAGTTTGGTTAAGAACTTAGGATAGGAAACCGCCAAAATGCCGACAATCAAAATGCCGACATGGGAAACTAGTTTCGCAAAAAAACACTTAGTTTTCGTCGTTCCACGGTTTTGGTTGTCGATATTTTAGATTGTCGACATTTTCATTGTCGGGATTATTGCATAAATTCAGTACAAAATCCCCCTCCTAAAAACGCTGAAACCAAATTGCGGCAACCAAGGCACGTAATTACTTCGCAAACCGCCATTACCCAAGCAAAATAGTGAAAAGCCACCGCCTACCACCTCAAATCAATTTTCAAAAGTTCCCAGACCCCAAACCCGAATAAAGATTGGTCAAGTAGCGGTGCCATCCCCCCTGCGTGCGAGCGCCGAACGAAAAATGAGCCGCGCGATCGGTGGGAGAATCGCAACAGTATGACCACGACCCGTTTACAATCGGCGGGGCCCGCCGACGAATCCGCTTGTACTATGGCTTACGAGCAACAATAAAACGGCTTCATCCCGCTGCGGGGAGAGTTAGCGAGCGTTCTGGTTTTTTTTGTAGAATTTTAGGGTATGTGTGGGTGGTGCAAAAGTCGATATTCTAGCTAATACTAATGTTCTTTTCGTTTTAAGGAACGTCAAGAATTGGGGGGACATGGCGCTTGCTGATTCACTAACTGGCGGTCGCGAGCAAGATATACAAACCATAGTTTTGTAGGTCAACTTCTCCTAAGAAAGAACCAACCTTGCTTTGCATAAAAATAAGATCCGTCTCATCGTAGAGCCCAGAGGCGAGTCCCTCGTCGAGTGGATGTGCACGCTTCAGCTTGGCGATTATAGGTACCGGTAACCCTAAAAAATTAAGATAATCAATATTTTGCGAAGCCAGAGAAAGAGAGCATCTGGAAAAAAAATCAGTTGGCACAGAAAAGTATCAGTCTTCAAAAAATTCACTCAATCCTAAGCCCCGGCAAAAAGGCCAGCCCCCTACGCTCCAGGTGCCGATTATTAACTTATCCGAGGAACCCTTTCACGAATTTTTTGCCGAAGTCTACCCTGAAAAGGTTGAAAGGCACGGCGGCAGACTGGGACTCCCCCCGGCCAACGAGCGAGCGGAGGGGGATGCCTTCTGGCTGAAGGCACGCGCAAAAAGCAATTTGCATCTTCATTCAAGTGTTAAATGTGGGGAGAGGAGGTCCGGGAGGACGACAGAGGAGGCACATATTGTTTCACGTAGAGACCCATGGGGGGTCCTGGAGGGCCCAAATGTGAAGTCATGTGTGGATCCGCAATCAGGGGGGGGGGCGTGCTTCTGAGGAATGCTATGATTTTAGGGCTCCTGGAACGCGTCTCTGCACACGGGGGTAGCTACCGTAGCACAAAATTGCGGGAATCCGGAGAAGGGTGGCTATATTGGGCCTCTTCTCCCTGGCTACAGTACGAAGAAAATGACCAAACTTTTGTTTTGACTCGCCAGCACCACCCCCCCCGTCGTCGTCCACAGTCAGTCGGCTTCAAAACATCAGTACGCCAAACGCTACTCCTTCCCGAAATGTATGACAAATCGTAATTGGGCACCCCTGAATTTTCCCGCCGGGACCACCCATTCGCCCCATCTTTGGGGGGAATAAACTGGTGTCTGGAAGATGTCCATGGTGAACAAAAGAAAATGGCCTCCACACCAAACCCTTCCTTCCCCCTTCCAACCCACTCATGGCTCCGTGGGGATTTACGGGTGCCGATATTTTACATCGTTTAGGTTTCCGATTTTCTATGTGCCGACATCAGTTTAGAGGATAAAGTAGCAGAAAAACTGGGTGAGAAGCAGCCAGGTCTGAAAAGCCCAGATCCAAGGAATTACCACCAACAAATCACTATCCAAAATAACGCCACCTCAAACTCCCCTCAACTAGCAAATAACTTTAAAAGCGAAGAATGAAAGTGGAATCCTACTAACAGAAGAATGGACGCTGTCTCCGAAGTAGCACAAAGGGACAAAGGAATGAGCCCTTCGACTCGGCTAGAGTCCTAATTAGAGGAAGAAGCTCATCATATGGACCTCCCACAAACCCTATTTCCTTTAGAGGGGGGGGGGGGAGAAGCCATCCCTTAGCGTGGCCTCGCAACTTTGAAAGGGTATTTTCTAGGAAATCTCGGGGTTAAATTGGCTGAAGGAATTATGATGTGAACTTTTGTGAGTTCCTGTAATAATGAAACTTGCTCGAGGAGCACATAAAGAGTCTTTCGATTCAAATTTAGAAAGTGTACCAGCGCCAACCCCCGCTACGCGGGGGTTCAGCGCTGGCCTTCCCCCCGCCCCGCCGCATCCCACAATTTGAATTTGGAATTTGAATGCAAAATTTGGCTGAATTCCCGGTCGGCGGGATCACGGACATTAGAAATTTATATATAGTAGATTATAAAAAACTCATGAAACACCGAAATAATTAAGAAAAGAAAGCCTCAATTTTCAAATAAGAAAATTGGCTAAATCTTCTAAAAATCCTGAATGCGGAATTCAGCCTTGTCAAACCTCCCCGCAATAAACCCTGACCATGTCCAAGACCATGACGATAGCAGACATGACTACGAGAACAAGAATATGAAATAGTTACTAAAACGTCGAGGGTGCTCATCAAAAAGCGTTGAGTCGTCGCTAAAGAGACCCAGGGGAGCCGGGACGATGTCGGGCAGGGGAGGAATGGGGCTCCCTGACTGAAAAGCTCTTTCTCTAAAAGCATCCACATAGACTAGCTGATTGTTCCGGATGTTGAGAAATATGTGGGTTGATAAAAATGAATAGAACTTATTGGAGATGAATTTAGGGCTGGGGTTGATTGGCAGCTAGGGGTGGCTTGGTAAACTATCGTAGGATCGGGTTACTAAACAAAAAATTTGGGCTTTTATGAGGCTACGAACTGAGAACGTATAATAACAATTTGTAATAACGAAATTGTTATAAATAGCAAACCGGAAAAAATAGAAAAGATTCGGAAACATCATGTGTTAGAAGATTTAAAAAAAGAAGAGCTTTTCCAAAAACGACAAAAATAACCAAACATTTCATTGCGACGATCCCGGTGTGCGGGAAATGTCACGAGACTAATGGCCCTAATTCCTTGGCTTAATGGGCTTCCTGAAAGCCCACCGAGGGGTCCTGTACATCCCCCTCGACCCCGCGGTGTCAACCTCCCTCCCTCAACCCCACATCGAAAAGCCTCCCGGCGATAGACCTCTGGTACTAAAATGTTAATTAACGCAGAGGAATTGCTTGGTTGGCAGGGCAGAGCCCTCCAGCGGTCGTTCTTTAGGGATTTGGGACCTAGTGCTAGAGGAGGAGCCCCAGCTAGCCCCAGCCATTTCACAGTCAATTACCCTCCAGGAGCCACGAAGACAATTTGTTAATTGGAAGAGTCAAGAATCTTTAGAGGATGGGGCACAACGTTCTGGTAGTCGGGAATTGTTGAGGAACTAGAGTAAGGGCCGGATTCTGGTATGTAAATTATTTAAACAAAAAATGTAGAGAATTGGGAGAGCGAAATCAAAGCGCAAAAAAGCAAAAAAGCGGAACCGAAATTTCGGGGGGAGGGGCCCAAAAATTTTGGCGACCCCCCGGGTCGCCACTTTTAAAACATCCGAAAATCGCGTCAATAATAGCGCCGCAGGCAAAAAATAGCAAAAAAGCGTGTGTGTGAACTCAAATTCGTGTGAAAACACCACAGAAAACGCGCCGCAGGCGAAAATTTTTTATGAACATTTGCTTCTCCAATGAAAAACCAGCGCCGCAGGCAAAAAATTTTGAAAAAATAGGCTTCATATAAGTAAAAACGGTTTGAAAAACAGTAATAAACAACGCCGCAGGCAGAAAAATTTTTGGAACTAAAAATCATAAGGGTCCCCCCTTATAAATTTTTCGGACCTCGACCGATTTCGGGGGGCAGGGCCCCTGGGCCCCCTCCTACGGGCCTGGAGCTGCATAAAGAAAATAGAATAACAGTTGCTGCTTGCCCGTATTCCAACCACTACCGGAAAAGTTAGCTAGCTACAACGCACCTGCATAAATCAGGTGCACGCAAGAAATCAAAGTTTTCACCTGGATGTGAGCATAGAAGTAAGTTACAATACACAAAAAATAATACACAAGTTCGATCACACAGGTCGAGATACAGATAATACAAATACAGCACCCCATGAGAAAAAATAGCTTGACATTTACATAAGCTTTAAAACGCAGAAATGTTCGACCAGCCTTTCCCTCAACCTAATTTATTGCAAAACACAACCCACTAATAACCAAAGTCAGCCTTCATCCCCCCTAACAGACAATGCCTCACCCTCACTGACAGGTGTTCGGGCCATAATCGTAACCGCTCTATCGTCAAAGTGAATCTCACGAAAAGCGCCCCGAGAACATCCCCCATTCCTTCCCCCGCCAAAGCGCCCCGACCATCGATTTTCGTACGACTTCAATAGAATACAGATGAACCGTCCCGGCAGGGGAGACCCGAAAGCATCGTCCGATCGAACCAGATAACATGGCCACAACCCCCCGGCAACGAATATCGCCTGAAAACAAAACCCCAACCGCTCCCCTGCTATCCCTCTTTTTCTCTCAAAAGGCTAAAAGGCCGGAAATGGATGGAACGGCCGCTCATTATTGCGCCTTTCAGCAGCACCTTTTTGGGAATCTAGTTGACGCAATAGGAAGGGGGAGACGTCGAAATAATGCCACCTGGAAGCCTGGAAGCGTTGGAATGCTGTGGAAAGTGAGAAGGGGAAGCTGAATGTTATGGCTAGCGAAAACCCCAAACAACAGTTTTAATGTGAGAATTTTTCGGGGGTGGGGGGGGCGATGGTTAATCGATGAATAGCGAAAAAGCGATGGAGGGTAGGCTTCAAAGGAGTATATTTGAGGTGGTAGTTTGTTTTTCGACTGACGTTGCCAGTTCGATAGAACCTAAAATCCTGAGCTGGCCCATATTTCCAAAATTGCCGGACGATACAGGGATTGGAAAAAATTCGTTCTAAAGGGTTGAATTGGCCTATTTTTTTCGCGCAGAACAAAATTTGTATCATGATTTTTTCGAAGGCCGCATCGTTTAGAAGTTTTTCAAGCGGGAATTGATTAGGAATTCCAGGCTTTATAGAATGACCTATATCATAGCGACAAATGCTATTATATTATTAACAGAAACAAAATTTATTAGTGAATCAAAGAAATGAAAACCTGAAAATCCGGGTGGCAACAAACTGGGCGCGGCTCAGCTCACCACCCGGTTTCGATACAGCGCTCTCGGAATCAATCGGTTTGTGGTTTTCACAGTCCGAACGGGATGATACGGCAAGAGGGCATAATAAATAGCAAGAAAGGTCAGATCGGGGTTGAAATCCGGTTCTGCAAGATGCCTGGAGGATGAGAAGGATAAAGAAGTGAAACCATATTCGGCTCGAACTCCCGATAGACAAACTCAAGGCACCATCCGGCTAACTCAGCTGGAACGCTAGGAAGTGAAATGCGTAAGCAAACCTCCCGGATGGCGCACGAGCCCCCAGATCCCAGGCAGATTGTGCAAAACGTGAAAACTCAGGCGAGAGGCGAGCGGATCGAACTGAGCCACAATTGGCTTCGAGCAGGGGGTGGTGAACCCGCTTCCCCCCAACTCGAGCCTGTCCCCCACCTCGAGAGGGCGAGTCGAGATCCCGTTCGGGGTCGTTCGGCTTATAGGGGGCTCACTCGATCAAAAAATGTCGAAGCGCTGAATGGGATTGAGTTAAAGGGTTGGAAGGAGTTGACTGTTTGGGTTTGTGGGTTGTTATGGATCTGAAGTAGAGTTATTCTTATGCAGATGTAGATGGAGCAGGAATTCAGATTATTCAAGGCGGATTTCGGAAATGAAAGTAGGATAGAAGTGGCAAGGAAGACCGAATGGATCGGGGCTCATCTACAATTGGCAACAAGCGAACCTGAATGTAAAATGTAAAAAATGAGCAGAAAGTAGGACGAGGCAGGGCGAGCAGAGAAGATTTATGCTAATTTTAGAGCTAATCTGACCTCAACCCCCGTTTTATGCTAATTCGCCCATGCCTTCCTGATCCCTTTAAAAATAAATTCTCGACCTGGAGGGGGTCGGGAACGATTTGCACAAGGACAAATTAGGCGCGACTAATGGTGCGGAGGGGTGCGTGCTAAAAATGGAAGAGATAGGGTCTGGGTAAGGGGGGAGGAACGGTGCGATGACATGATCCTATAAATGGTCGGTGCAGCTACCGGGAGGAGGGGCATCTCTCACGAGAGTGACAGGGTTGATATATATCTTTCTAGCTATCTGAGGTTTGAGGGAGGTGGGGCGGAAAATGACTTTTAAGTTTATTGCCTGTGGAAATCCCCAAATTATGCATTTTAACCTAGGTCAAGTCAGCCTTTTTACAGTGTAGAGGTTTAAAAAGTACCCCTTTTAGTTTTGGTATGCAAAAATTAGGAAATTTGCATAAGTATCGGAGGAAACGGACCGCAAATTTGGGAGAGCCTCATATGCTTCGAAGATGAATTTTATGTGCGTACAGGAGTGATCTAGCCATGAAGAACTTCATCCCAAAAGGAGTGCCGCACTACGCCCTAACCGCCGTTCCCCTCAAATCCGAACGCCGCCCAAGCTTGAAGGATATCCCCCCGCCGTTCATCCCAAAACCCTCAGGGCAGAAGCCATCTCGAAAG